TCCACTTGAACATGACGCTGCTTTTTTCGAAGTTTCTCAAGAACCATTCGAGCCAGATAATTCGTTTTGGCATCGTTGGATAGAGAATTGAATGGGAGGTCATGACCCCCATGGGGATCCCCCCCCTGGATCCGCCCTTAAGCCCATTTCGCTCCAAACTGTTATAAATACGAATTTTCTTCAATTCCACAACAATCCGATGTTCCATTTTAAAAATGAGTTTCTACTAGTCAAAAAATAATGCTATCTGCTTGGATTTCAAAACAAATCTTGGAAAGAAACTCTGCAAGGAAATGAGAGCAAAGGAGAGCAAAAATTGCTGGCTCAGTGGCATCGAAGAGCCAAAACAACAAGATTTAGTTTGAGGAAAACTAAGATCCAACTATTACTGCAGACAATGAAATGTTGTGAAAAGTAGTATATAAAATTAAGGTTGTTTTTTGCTGTTTCAGGTTCGATGCCCGGTGGGCTTGGTGCTCCAGAAAACATCACGATAACGTTCTTAAACCCGACTACTGTAAGGGTGTCTTGGGCAACCACGTTGAGCAACGTCGACAAGTATGATATCACGTACAAACCGACCGATGCCAGGTAATTTATCAAATTTAAATTTGAGCAATCCCCCTATATTTTCCAGTCCCGGGCGCGTTTACGGGGTTTCTTACATGCGTTATTTACACCCTTATTTCCTTTGGACTCCGTCGAGCTACATTATTAATAAAACCACAAGCTTCGTTGAAGGAAACAAGTTCGTCGCTATTAATTTCCAGAAAACTCTTCGCAGGGATCCTAATTCTTCGATTATTTATTAAACCGAGGGAGTGGAATCAATAGTCGTCATTTACTATGTACATCCTCGGCAAACATACTCTAAAAGCAATTTTCCAGGTAGGGTTTTTGGAGCAGGATTGTTGGATCGGAAGTCCACAAAAAGCGTTTAAAATGTCTTCGGCCCGAGTACTTGTTGTTTAATGATGGAACATTCTGGGGCTTAATCGAGTTAAATCCGCTGCGGGTTTATAAAACCGGAACACCTAATAGGCGGAAAGCTTTTAAATTGCAATCGGCCGCTCAAAATAACTTTAGTGCCAGTTAATCAACCCGGCGATTATAGCTTAAAAAACTGAATTTTTGGTTAAAAATAGTATAGAAGTTTAGATGTTTTGAGTAATTTGGTTGCCTTTGATAGAGTAATAAACATGTAACTTTTTCCCATTTTTTAGTTCAGTGTTCTCTCGTGTCTGTGTATCCACTTATGATTATTTGCAAGGAAAATGATGCTGAATTTGAGACATCTTCATTAGATTTTCATATATAATTGCTTGCGAAAAATTGTTTTCATGATTAAAGATTTCAATTAATTTCAGTGGCATATAAAGAAAATTAAATTCTAAAATCCAGTGTTTTTAGCAATCTTTAAGCTCAAGTGAATCTCAGCAACAATTTTTTTGAAAAATTCCAAAATGGAACCATAAATTTCACTCGCGCTTAAATGCAATAACTGAATTAACCATTTTTGATTTATCGAATCAAGCGCATTTAAAGCTCCGAAAGCGTTGCGAAGCTATTGGCAAACAATCAATCGACTTTGCTGTCGGATATTTTCGGTTAAATTATGGGCCATAAAAATAATCCAGCAACATCCCGGCTGATGCAAAATTTCCGTGAGAGCGACAGCAACTCTGCTATTTTCATCGGGAAATTGTTGTCTATTTTAGGATCTAATTACGGCCGAAAAAGATGAAACCAGGCGGCATTTTATGAGTTCCTTAAGCTTGAAACCGCTCGTTTCGGAGCTTTTTCCGGCAAATATTCGAAGATTTTTGAAATTCCCAAAGGAAATCACCAAGGGTTTCGACATCGAGTTCTTATTAGCTTGTAACAAGCAAGTAAACGCTTCAAAGTATCACTTGAAACTTCATTTAATTGAATTTGTTATGAAGGTTTTGTTTTCTGTGTTATACAAATATGGCTCTATAGGTCGATTTCCCTTTAAAAAATTGTTCATGCTAAAAATGTCTCAATAATTTATGCATTTAATTACTGCCGTGTTTATAGCTATTGCAAAAAGCCTGGAAAACTGGGGAAAAGCAAATTTATTCTCCTATAATTCTCTTTACTGTCTGAGTCTGAGTTTTTACGTACAGTTTTAATTAGTGCCACCTTTAACGACTGCGGAAACAAATGAATTATTCATTACTTATGCAAATACAAATTGTAATTCAAGTGCGGATATTTTTAGACGCGCTTTCGACGTTTCGTGGTTGGTTTTGAAAGTGCGCTCTTCAAAACTTGAAATTTTTAACAATGTACGAGCATGCATCAAGTTTACCTTCCTTGTGGAGGTTGTGAAGTCATGACAATATTCCTAATAAAGTCATAAATTCGAGACTTTTAGAGCACATTCTTTTAACAGCACAACCTTTTAATGCAGAAACTAGCGACTTTTAGGGAAAGGTGTCATAAATTTAGAATCTGGCCCTAAAATGCAGCATATCGTCGGTCGCTTAGTTTTTGAAGAATTTATACTTTTTATAGTGACGGCAAAAATCGACTAAACTTTCTAAAGTTTGCAAAATTACGAAAAAATATCTGTAGAAATAATCAATTCGAAACTATTACGGCCCATTCACTTATAATTTTAACTATTTAATGCAGACATTAGGAACTATCATTTTTTTCTGGTTCTGGAGAAAGCTGAATTTGTCGAATAATTTTTTTATAAAAGTTTGGAAATTTATAAAACTATCCTTGATCGATTGGACATTTGCAGCAAATATTAAGCGAAGGTTAAACGATTTAAAACCGATAACGTAAAATCATTGATTTTCCAGAGTAAGTTTTTTCGGGTTTTGCAGGAAATCGATATTGACTATACATTTTGAAGTTTGAAAATTCCTGGAATTTGCAACTTTCAGGGCAAATTAAGGTAAACCTGCTTCATTTAACGCAACAACTCATTTGCTAGCGCTTCTTATTTTTGAGCGATTAATATTTTTCAGAATGGTTGTAGAAATCGATAAAAGTTGACTCGAATCTCATAGGTCAATCAATTCTTGAAAAATTCGTAAAGGTGCAAACAACTTCAAGATTTTACAACATTGGATTTTAGGCATGTTTTTTTATTAAAAATCTTACTCCTTTAGTTTTCTGAAACGTTATACTTTTCACAGTCAAGACAAGAATTCGACTAAAAATTCTCAAGTTTGCAAACTCATGAAAAATATCCTGAACAAGTCATCAACCTGAAATTTTCAGTACGGATTCGCAAAACATTTAGCTATGTATAGCAAAAATCAGCAGCTGTCTACCTTTTCTGACTTTGGAGAAATTTACATTTGAAGGAATGTTTGTAAAAATCCATGAATGCTTTTTGTCATCTCGCTCATTAGGAAGTGCATAAAACAGTCCCTGAAGATATCATCGATTCGAAACTTTCAGCGTATTTCTCGGCAGTGTTGCAGAATTCAATGCCACATGTGGTTGGAGCATTTCAAATTTTTGAATAAAAGATAATTTCTTGGGATGCGTTAGAAAGTCAATGTTGACGCCATCATTTTCAAGTTTGAAAATTCCTGAAAAAATCCCTGAAGATGGCATCAATTTCAAACTTTGATCATAAATTAAGTTAAACATGACTTTTCTGCTGCTTCAAAAATCAGGCACTCTTAAGCAGTTTTTACTTTTGAGTTAATGACATTTTTTGAAAGGGATGCAAAAATCGATGAAATCTGACGAGAACCTCAAGTTTAAAAATTCGTTAAAAAATCCCTAAGGATGTGATCAACTTGAAACTTCTAGCAAACATTAGGTGAGCTTCACGCTATTGAATCCGTAAAAGTACAACATCCGAGCTAGCATAGTTTTTGAATATTTGCAAAAATTTTTGGTAACACTATGCTGTTTCTCAATCAATTGTTATAAGCATTGATGAACTGGCATGCTGTTAGTTACAGGGTGGTGGCAATTGTGGCTGGAAACAGCGATGCGGTGACCCTTTCCAACTTGAATCCAGACACGCAATACCAATTAACCGTATCCGCAGTGTGGGGAGGAAGGAAATACAGAAGCAGGCCTATCGTCTTCCGGACCCTGGGTAAGATTTATGTCCTGAATAATTTACCGAGAAGCTAATCAATAGCCAGAAGCAGTTGCGGGTTTCTTTCATTTAGATCAAAGAGCAACGCAAAATCGAAAGCTGCCATGTCCAAAGATGGTTTATCCCAAAGCTTGATAATTTAATAAAACGGGTTTCATCCGGTCAACTTTTTTTTGTGGCCAACACAAGGATACATTTATATGAACAGTCAATATCGACCAAATCCTAATTCTCCAGAGGTTTGGACCGAGATCCATAAAACCGCTAGTTTAATATTCCAGGTCTTCGGGTCATACGATATGAATTTGTTCGATATTTTCCACACTAATGCTTTACTTGTTTGTCGCCCTCCTTGCACTGAAGGCGACGATCTTGGCCGGGAAATTTTAATTTCCCTCAGCTTTGTGACCTATAAATTCAAAAAGTGTATTTATTTTCCCTTGTGACGACGGTGCTTCTATTTAGAGCCTCCCAGGTCTTCACCTCAGCAGGAATCCATGGCTGTAGCAGCAGGTGTGAGTGCAACTTCGCATACGACCATCATCACCTCAACCACGTCCACCACTGATTCTTCGACGACAAAATTATCCTCAACAGAAACGTACGTCCCAGTGGATTATCCGCAAACTAGTTCGACGGTAAGTGGATTTTCTATTCTGGACAGATGGACACATTCAGCTCTCTGGCCCATTATTTTCTTCGGAAAAGTTAAGGATTCCTCCAGGGAGAAGAGGTTTGTTACGGCGGAAGAGTTTTCCGGTCCTTGCCCATGTAAAATGGATGAATTTCTGAAATGGGGAAACATCTGGGTTCATGCGTTATTAAAATGGCATCACTTGGGAACATTAGTCTTTGCTAAAATTAGACTTGGGAAGTTTCGCTGGAAGCCCGAGGAGAAATGACGATGAAAGCTTTCAGGCAAGTGAAATATGAAGCCATGAAAATTAAGTTTTCGCATTTTTCTTCGGGCAAATGGTTTTTAGTATTTTTAGTTAAAATTTTTCGATACGACGTTTTTGTTTGAAACCAACGCAAAAGGCCGTAATAGTCGTCGGTTTTCTCAAAAACATGTTTAATATGTGTGAAATTCTATTAAGTAACTGAACCAGAAGGAGCAAGTTTTAGGTGCATTTAAGACGATTAATATCGAATTAGTTCTGGAGGATTTTTCCAGCTGGAAAGTTCAACGACTGGCAAATGCACGAGCGCTTGAAACTTAAAATGTTCATGAAATTTTCCTCAAAAGCCAAGCAAAAGCAATATTCATAAAGGGTTTTCTTTGCAGTTTTGTGCAGCAAAATTGAATGATTTTAATTTATTGAATTTGCAAATGAGGAATCCGGAAGCGAAAGCTAAGAAGAAGCATTTATTGACTGAACTGAACCGAAAAACTCGTCAGCTTCGATTAATGGCTGCGAAGGCCTGACTTTTTGATTTGGGATGTAATTCGATTATTCCAGACTTTCGTTCAACACTGAAAATTTTGAATAATCTTTTTCGTCAATCTGGGGGAGAGAAATTTGGAATATTTTTATAATTTTATTAATTCAAATCAAATCAATTATTTGTGACGCTCTAATGCAACACTTGAAGCCAAACCACCCTGTAAACAAGATGAATGAAATTGCCGAATAAAGGCACTATTTTTCAACTTTTCAATGAAATTAGCCTGATTTTTGCAATAAACAGGGCAAATGGTTTTTAGTATTTTTAGTTAAAATTTTTCGATACGACGTTTTTGTTTGAAACCAACGCAAAAGGCCGTAATAGTCGTCGGTTTTCTCAAAAACATATTTAATATGTGTGAAATTCTATTAAGCAACTGAACCAGAAGGAGCAAGTTTTAGGTGCATTTGAGACGATTAATATCGAATTAGTTCAGGAGGATTTTTCCGGCTGGAAATTTCAACGACTGGCAAATGCACGAGCGCTTGAAACTTAAAATGTTCATGAAATTTTCCTCAAAAGCCAAGCAAAAGCAATATTCATAAATGGTTTTCTTTGCAGTTTTGTACAGCAAAATTGAATAATTTTAATTTATTGAATTTGCAAATGAGGAATCCGGAATTCAAAATTTTGMAKRWKCWTTTTCGTCAAKCWGGKGGAGMRAAATTTGGAATRTTTTTCCATAATTTKCATARYWCAAWTYRATYAWWWGTGACSMTCTAATGMAAYASTYRAWKYCWRASCAYYYTKTMMRMAWRATGAATYWAATWGCYSAAKARWGAMTTTATTWTTCAAC